AAAAAGTTTAAACGATTTTGTGCCCAGCATTACCGCAGATCTCTCTGGCGATTGGTGCGCGTGACATGTCACGTGCGAGATGGATGGTTGATTCTAGGAGGATCCCTTGCAGGCTTGCGCGCGCTCCGTCCGGTAAGTTTTATCAGATCGAAGGCTAGGCTGTGGTGTATTCTAGTACACCATAGCTAGACGAAGGCTAGCTACGGTCACGTGACGTGGTTACGTTCGCCTGAAAAGCGAGGAGAGTGAGGAGAAAAATGAGAAAGAGGCGAGGCGTCAAGGGGGCATGGCTTGTGGAGCCTACACGGACGACGTCATGCCCTCTCCTACCCTCCTTGCTCGAACCGGTCGAATCTGGTGAAAAGTTTGAAGGTTCGTCGAACCGGTTCAACCCCGTCGAACCGGTTCAACCCAGTGGAACCGGTTCAACCCAGTCGAACCCCGAAAGTTTGACCAAAAAATCTGGTTCGACAAAAGTTCGCGACACCCCTAGTCTTTACCACCACCACCACCATAGATATAATAAAGATACAAAAAAAATATATATTTATTTTTTGTCTTCTGGTAGGCCTTTCGTTCCCCAGCCCGACGCGGTACCACTCCGCCACTCGCGTAGTTCAGAGCCGTATATGTAGAGAGTTTGGCCATTTGTTGGGAGGTATAGGAGACAAATGAGGAGGCGCCATTGGCCGAGAGCGGGCTGGGCGTGTTCCAGGGCGTCTTCAGAAATTCGAATGTGACTAACCAGAAGCCGGAAATAATACCCTGGCGGTGGTCGCGGGAAACAAACCTGATAACAGCATTGGAGTAACTCTCGATGGCTGAAAATATGGTACACGTGATATTTCAATTACGCGCATCCAAAATGATGGTGGAAGAGTGCGACTAGCGGAACGATCGAAGCAATCCGTACGCCAAGCGCCGAGGGCCGGGAATCTGTCGTCCGAGCGGTCACCTCTGTCCGCGCAAAACAGAGTTGAGCGGCGCATTTGTTTCTTACATCTTTCTGCATTATCATGATCAAAACAACACGTGCACCCTATTTTCAACCACAAAGAGTTACTACACTTCACTCTTACGCGCTTATTAAAACCATATACGAACATAGACCTTTGATTAGAACTGTTTCTCGCTACCACCGCTAGGGAACTCTTTTCGGCTTCTGGTTGGTCAAGAGAGCATGCCAAGCCCTCTTTCTGAGTCTGCCGCACGCCCTGGTTCTGCCCGCGCCTCCCATTGACCAAACTCTCTACATATACAGCTCTGGCGTAGTTGTGCCAACGCACTTGTAAATCATGAACTAATCTTTAATGTATCGGCTGCTGACGGCGCTGTCGGAGCCGCTTGGATGCATGGATGGATGGATGGTAATGGCTATACCCAGAGCCGTATATGGCTATACACCAACTCATGTTTACAAACAAACCGGAGCGCCCCTAACAGACGCCACCGGCGCCGCGCATGCGCGATGGGGGTGTGGGCAAGAAGCTCGCCGTTGCCCATAAACAAACCATTGAAATGCAATGTTTTCGGCGTCGGTGTGAGTCCCCACGCTCTTTTTGACGTTGAAATTGTTGATTCTACGTCCTCCTAACGATGTCTGACTACTGGAGCGGCGTCAGCGAAATTACCGAGGCTCGTTACACCGCAAAACTTCGCGTGAATCATCTGACATGTGGTGATTCATTCCACGTGGACGCCGCAGAATGTACGCTAAAGCCTGATTCACATGATGATATTTCGCTCGCAATTTTCAGTAGCGACGTCGCTCGGACTGCAAAAGCGTGAACCGTAGCTGGAATGTCGACGTCAAAACTGAAAATCGCAAGCAGAATCTAACCAAGTGAATCAGGCATAACAATGGCCACTGGTAACAATGATCAACATCTCCTTGTATCTACTGTTTACGTCCAGCCTGCTTCCCAACCTTCAAACTTAAGTCTTTTGGGGCCTGCACTTACTTCTTATCGCAAGTAACAGGCCCACGTTTCGTCTACGGGCCGGCGTCGTCTAAGGGAGCAGACGACAAGCAGAAACGTTTGAAAGAGCAGACGACAGTTTGAACGATTAGGCTACCGTTTGAACTTGAAGACGCACTGAACGTAGTCCGCAGGTGGTCCGTACAACTTGACGATTTTCCGGCGCTCATTTTGAAACAAAACAAATGAATTTGATGACCAGAAGTATCCGTGAATTCAACCCAAAATGCCTCCCGCCCAAGCAATCGTGGTCCGACGGCGTCTGGTTTTCCCTTTTCACGGCACATATCCGCGTTCTCGGACGAACCGAGCACATGAAAAATGACCTTCAAATCTTTCTCGACACTTTTGGTACAGCCCCAGTCGCAGCATTTTGACGAGAAGGCATGTTTCTGTCTGGTTCCTTTCAAAACAACGCAGGAATACACGTCTCACATGAGCACTTCCGCCCACAGCCCCGGACCGGAAGTGCGTCCGACGCGCCACCACTGCGGCGTGACGTAACAGAGATGAGTTTGTGTATGTATAGACGCTTTACACACGCGCCAAATTACAGCCGCCATTGCTGACCTTCTCTAGTCTTACTGAGATGCCGAGCAACTGAAACGGTAGTTGACGATCCTCTACAAAGGCCGATGCTTTAGAAAAGGGCACAGTTGAGTCCAATATGGCAATAACCTGGCCTGCTATTGTAATGATGAAGTTAAATAAACGAAATCAGAGGAAACAAAAACTGAAGGTCAGTTATGGCGGCGTCCATGCACAGCTGCTGCAAAGCGTCTATACCCTTTGTACGGGCTCAGCTTGCGCCACCTAGCCTAACATTTCATCATCCATTCTATTTTTTTTTTAATTTGTATGCATTTAGTTATAACAGACCCCCCTCCCTTTTAAATTAAATTTATTGCCTATTTTATACGTATTTTTTTATCCTTCCCTAGATTTTTTTTACCAATCTTCCAATTTCCTCTTAGTCACCGCCAGCTTCTTTATATGCAGTGTTGACACTTGATTAATTTCTGTCAAAAATGTTCCCAATCAAGTTTATACGCAGTGTTTGACACTCGACAATCCGTTCATTTTAACTCTACTTTACATTTTGAAAAAGCAACTGCGTCTTCAAAAGCTTTGAATCCAAATCCAAATCCAGGTGTTTCATGCGTCTTGTTACCTTGGCAGCCTCGCCCATCCTCGTGGAGTGTTTTCGAGGTTTTTGATATTTAGGTAGGTTTCACTACAGTAGGTTTCACTCGATTTTCCGAGAACGGAAAAATAAGCGGCGTCCATAAGGCCTTATTTAGGAACTGCAATCCTTCGAATGTGGCCGACTTCGAGCGTAGGACGGTGTACGGTGTTTTGGAGGCTATTACGACGCCGAGATCCTCAAACTGACGGGTGAGTGTGTATTTTTACCATCCCAAAGTGCGACGTAGCCACAAGCAATCGCCGTTTTCTTTCATTTTTATTGCGACTGTGGTTAAAATGGAGTATTGTGGACTGTGCTCATTTGGGGCACCAAGCTAGGCAGATGAATGCATGGGCTGTCTAAAACTTCAGTTGAAAACGTGTGGACTTAACTGCCTTGCACGTGACATCATATGGGCACGGCTGCCTTAACTGCGTTGCACAGACAAGGCAGTCTAACTGCCTTGCACAGATATATCATATGAGCGCTGCAACTAAACGGAGCATAGCGTACGGTGTCGCAACACGCCGCCGAAACTGTCGACGAGCTGTATGAGCCACTTCAGACCGCATGTTTATGACGAATCCAGCATCTCGCGGATGCCGAAATTATTTTGAAGATAAATTGATTAAGGGCTCTGTAAAACAGCAGAGTAAAAGAAAAAAAATGCGCGGCGACGTTAGGAAATTTTCACGAATGTTTCCATATTTCTGAAATCTCTGAAGACTCGCTTCGACCACTTATGCTGAATGTTGCTTTGACCGATCTATTTATTGACCATGCATGTTGCTCAGATTTAAATGAAAGACAACGTTCTTGAACTCGCTTGTCAAATCAAGAAACTCTCAAACTTGTCAGATATCTTGGGTTTCCGTCTTGCAGCGCGAGATGGAACCTGTCGATGGGCTACTCCCATACTGGCGCACCACCGTTTAATGAATAGCACATTATTAGTTTTCAGGCGAGATGCATGAACAAACCTTTTCCGCAACGTTTTCGCTTTCCAATCGAAGTATCTTATTTGCAGGGCTGTGCCTTCTACAAATTGCAGCGATACGACGGTCTTCTCACCCCGACAACTTTTCTGTCGCTGTACTATCATAACGCTACAGTTCGATTGATTAATTTGTTTTCAGGCGAGATTCAGGAACAAACCTTTTCCGTAATGCCAATTGCTGTCTTGGCTTTCAAATCAAATCATAATTATTTGCTGGATTAAGCTTTCTTCAACTGAAAAGAGGCAGCGGTCCACTGCACTCCTCGTCTTGACAACGTTTCTGTCAGCGCGAAGAAGTCACTTGCATTTCGAGAGATACTCGGTCCAGGAAGAGCGCGCTCGAGTGTCAGTCTCTGGTGGCGCTTCTTTCCATTTAATGAATAGAGCGCCAAACTCTTGCGCTCCGCAGCGCGAACTTAACGTGCACAATCGTGGCTGATTCAACGTCAATCCATGCAAGTCATTTAATACATGGCTTGCATTGATGTTGCATCAGCTGCCATTGCTTCCTAACCAATTTATTTATTCATGATCACAAATGTACCTACTAGGAACCCAAGAGGAAATGGCAACTGAGCTGGCCAGGCGGGAACATGCAGCTGAGGCATCTGCAAGTTCACACAAAGCTGCAGCTCCCAAAAAGGTCAGCCCTTGTGCCCTCTAATGCAAAGTGTTTTTTTTGCGGAAATTTTGTCACCAGAATATGTAATGTCACCTGTCTATGTAAATGTGGTGCAGCCTATTTTGCTGGGAGTGACCGAAAGCTACATCTTAGCGCTAAATAAATTTTTAGTTGCGGTCTATGTCAGGACAGAAGCTGAAAGTGACGATATTGCGGGGCTCTCAAAAGCAGCGCCAGTCACATAGGGCTAGCAGCGACCAAAACGGGCACACAACTGACCGGTCCAACTGATGCAGAACGAGAGCCGATCATGCACAAAATGTGAGTGTTGAAAGCAGCTTGGGAATCCCAACACTCAGCGTAATGTCATGCCGAGTCCTTAACATTTATACTTCCTTGGGATTGCTCTGTTTCACCACTCACGCAAAGCTTTGAAGTTTACCAAGCCTTCTCTATTTCCTAAAGGCCACTAAAGCAGTCGGGAGTTACAAGGGAGACCAAAGATTCAACTGAATCACAAGAAATAGCACAAGGACCCAATTTGACACCCGCAACAATGTGTTGTCATGATTTGTTGATGAGGAATGTTGTGCTTTCTGCCTACACCCCAATGTGCGTGAGTACTGCTGCTAGGGGGCACACATGCATAGCTGCTAGAAACACCTTTCTCTGACCCACCCTGCTCTATCAATTGCAGGACTATACTGCAGCCCAGCTTCCAGTTGATGCGGGAGGCACTATAGGGCCCTACTGCCTAACACGTAAGTCATTTATGGCCTTACCTTTGAGTACTCGTATGTTTACCATACTAACAAAACCCATGCTTTAGCATTGAAAAGGGAACTTTTTTAATGTGCCCGCAATAAATGAAAGAAGTTCACTGTGCGGTGATAGAGCCAAACATGTCATATTGTCACGAATGACAAGTGATGAGGCGATAATAACTGAAAAAGCGAAATGTTTCATGGGGCGAACTTGTCCCCAAAACTAAAAGGGAACGGAAGATAACAGCAGAGCGTCGCGGGCGTCGAAGTCGGCGTGACAGCAGAGTCGAACGTTGGGGCGAAACTATCTGCGGCTTGCCACGCAGAGCCCCTTTTGTACATGCGTGGGCTTCTCGAACAATCGGCGTAGAAGGTTCGCGCATAGAACATTCTAACTTCGAACATGCAACAGAGTTCTCGAATTTACCAGAACAGTAAATTGCAAGAATATAAAAGATGTGTCGCGTCCAAGAATCGAACCCTGGCTCTTCGCGTGTGAGGCAAGCACGATAACCGTCAGGCCACGGCCGTGCTGCACACTTGGCCAGCTATGCGTGCAGCAATATGCAACACATCATCATTTATATCTTGCATAGAGGATATTTATTCATAAAGGGTGGAAAAAAATAATTCCGAGAAAGAAGGCATAAACGGCAAAGAGCTGTCTACTCTACTGTTGTGGCTGCGCTCTGTTGCTGAGCAGGATGGCCGAGGAATGTCCTTCCAACGCCATGACTACGTAGCAAGTTCCCCAATGTTGCTAGATGACCTCCCAGATAGGCTCCACATGCATCCACCAGGTGCACATTGAAAGATTGTATAATTAGCTTTAAAATTAGTTTGCTTTTGCCTTTCAACGAAAGACTGGTATTTTGGAGGTTATGTTGCAACATGCAACACATTAAAGCTAAAACCTGAGCGCTGAAATTTGGTTTCTGTACTCCTTTATTGTGAAATTGTTTTTCAGTTGCTGACGAGGACACCCTTGCGAAGAATGAGATTGTGGATCCTACCATCGGCCTCCAGAATAAGGATGGAATAGTAAAATAAATTTTTTTTCACTTTCATGCAGTGTATGATATACATTAAAAGTTTTTAGGATAGTGCAGGGGTGGCCAGAGTGACATTGAGTTAGAGCCGCAGGAAAAAAAGAAAGGGGGGGGGGGGGATTTTTAACAAGAAACGATATGGAGCAAACAGTTCTTTCCAAAGAGGAGAAGTATAATTGGCGACTACAACAAATAACACTAGGTATCAGGAGGTCTTTTCCACCGCTAAGCAAAAATTAATACACGATTCACTAGCCAGTCACTGCCCCTGACAACCATTATGCGTATACGGTTGAGTCTTTTTAGAACAATATAGAAAACAGGGTCACTGGACGTATCTGTGGCAAAAACCATTCAAGCTGTATATATTTAGTGTGTTGCAAGGCTGCCAAGGCTGTGAGCTCTTTTTAAATTCTAGAACTCTTTTCGTCTAGGGGACACGCGTCATAGGGACACGTTTTCCAGGGAGCCGCACTTGGACTTGCAAAGAGCCACGTGCGGTTCGCGAGCCTCAGTTTGGCCACTCCTGGGATAGTGTAAGCACATTAAATTTAATCGATTGCAACCAGAAGTCATTAAAACATTATTGTTGCCGCGCTCTGAATTGTAGTTATAGCCAGGGCCTGGAAAACATTCAATAGTCACGCTCACCTGATGCAACTAAGGGATTACGTACCTGTTTCATGCAAATGCCATGAAGCTTTGTAGACCCATCAGCTTTGCAGATGCCCACGAAGACAGGAATTCATAGGTAGTGCTGTTTTAAATTTAAAGGCCTAAATTCCATGCATGTAATTATTTTAGTGCATTTTAAATGCATCTTGGAGTAAACAGTACCACTCTGCATCAACGATTGGTATGTGTGAAGCTGTTTCTCACTTTTGTTTATCCATGTCAGACAATGTGTGCACGTCAACCAGGAATCCGGGCAACATGCAGAAGGCAGAGTGCGACTCCATGTTTTGCAAGATTGCTGCTGCTCCCGAACGGGCAGTGGAAGTGCTTTTGGAGAGGTCGGTGACCGGCACCCTCTCCAACAAGGCAAAGGCAGCGGGGCAAGAGAAGGTGTTTGCCTCACTCACTCCTCACAAGGTGCAGGCTCTCTCATTAAGCAAACATTTTGTTTAAAAGCTTGATACGAATCTCGCGTAGTCGCGTAAAATATTTCATGTTAAATTCGCATCAATGAAAGCGAAACAAAATTTATATTTTGAAGCCCAAGGAATGCATGAATGTGCATTTATTTATGGCAGAAATATCTTGTATGCAATTTGCATGATTCTAACATGTCCCCGATAGTAACACGCAGTTATATTCAACCCACGAATGTTAAAAAAATTAACTAATGCCGATTCTATCGCGCAGATAAAATAATGACGGCTGAACAACATACATTTCGTGAAACGCATTTTATCAAATGCACATACTCGGGAAGTGCACACACTAAGTGCTGGTGAAGCCCTACATCGAAAACTTGCGAGCGAAAATTCGGTTCTTTTGTCTTTCCAACCAAGCTCGCATGTCACTGAGGACCACACCGACCACACCACCAGCATCACTTTGTTTTCTGTTTTTGCCTACGCAATCCCTTTTTTTCAGAGGTAACCTTATAGTAAAATCGGTTTTGCTTTTCCAAGGTTCAAACACCATTCCACAAAATCGCAAAAACGAAACAGTGAGTTTGGATTCAGGTTGCATTGGACTTGAAACACGTGTTGGTGGTGATGGGGCTGGCCACTTAGCAGAGTTTTTTTAGCATTTTGTTTCGTTTCGGTTTCTGGGTCCGATTCTAACACAGGTAATTTTGAGCTCAAGTCTTTGGGTAAACAAAGTATGGCTGATCCCTGGCAGCAGCAGGCAATCAGCCACTTGGAGCCTTGGGAGCTTACAGTCGCAGATCATGGCCTCCTCGCCACCGTAGGTTGTGGAGCACGCATTCGTATCAGCCATCGCCGTGCGTCGAGGTATTCGGAACATTAAAAAATTTTCACATTGTATACAATGCGCTTCGGCTGGGGAATTTGCGAATTTTTTTATTCCGAAATTCATACCAATTAGTATCACCGAGATTTTACTCTAGTAGGTTGTCTGCTAACCCCTGGACGTGTGACAAGGGTACCCTGCCAAGAATGAAAGTCAAGCATAACAAATAATAACCGTAAATAATAATCGCACATTTGTATTTTGAACAGATGATCTTATTTTTCGTTCTAAGCAGCGAACTCGAGCAAGTGCTCGAAGCGAAGTCAACGGAGAGCTCGATGCGTTGTGGGGTATCTGGCAAAGCTGGCGTGGCTACGAGCTGTGCCGTTCAGGTGCATAGTGGTGGCGTAGACGTGTTACCGCCTAGCCATTTGAAACACCTGTGGGCTTTACGTGGACCAGCGCGGACTAAGCAGACTAAGCGTCCATGTGTGAGATAAGTCATGTCACGGTCATCGCGTTCAGGGCAAGATTACTCCAACAGTTGAGTATACCTCTAGGAAGCGGCGCTGCTCCGATGTTTTAGTGCAGCTACATAGCGGTTTTTTCTATGTCACGACTACGTTTCAAGATCCCCAACGAAGCTTCGGAGGCATCCACCAGGTGCACATTGAAAGACTGTATAATTAGCTTTAAATTTAGTTTTCTTGTGCCTTTCAACGAAAGTTTGTTGTTTTTGAGGTGATGCTGCAACATAGCCCACATCCAAGCTAGCAAATGAGCACAGGAATTCCGTTTTCGTGCCCCTTTAAGATCTGCTGTAAGCTACTTTCTGGCATTTGTGTAACTTCTTGTGGAAGCACACTTCTTCGAAAAGCACCAATTAATGCCTGGAGGAAATTAATTTCGGCATTAGGAAAACTTTTTTGTTTTGCTTTGTTTATCTACTTATTTTTTCTTAGTGGGGAGAAAAATGCATCGGATTAAACATCAAAGCAACACATTGAAGTAAAAGAGAAATGTGCAACAATGCAGGAACAAACACCTCATTGTTTTTAACAGCCCACGCTGTGAAAGGCATTCAATTCTATTGGCTTTTAGTTTCAGGGAAGAAAGGCAATGTAAACTGCTCCTCTTAGCATTTGCATTTAATTTTCTTATGGTCATAATCTGCTTGCTGACATGTATATTGCAGGTTTGAAATGCACCTTTCACGATGTATGCCTACTGTAGGGAGGTAAATGTTCTGAATTCATTTTAACCACCAATTTCTCTTCTTTCTTCAGGTGACTCCCAACCTAAGGATTACTTTGTTATGGAGATCTCAGATTGTTATATCAGATATGGGCATACTTATGACTACTGTCGTGAGTGTTCTAGAAGCAAACATCGCTTTATGCAATAAGTAAAGAAATAATGGCTTGGAGACTTTTAGAAGGTTCACTAAAAACGAGCATTGCTCTAATATCCCGAGGGTAGCCTCACCTAAAATTGAGAAATTTGGTGAAAATGTAAGGTAGTCTACCTCGTAGAGTGCTACCAAAAAGGGTTATAAATATTGTAGCCAGGCCATGAATGGAAGACCTTTCAAGGAATGTGAGATTGTTTTTATATAGAACTGCATTGTTCGTTGTGCTGTTCATGATGCTATTTTTAAATTCTGTGGCCTGTCTAAGCTGTTACCACAGTGAGGGATGACAACCAAATGTAGGCGGTTTCCAATGTTAATTGTCTACTTATCTACAGCTGGAGCTCCTATTTCTTACAAAGTCACTGGCCTAGCAGTGAGATTTATAGACACGGGCTACCTGTTTTGTGCTTAAAAGAATCTAACAAAAGCCAGGGTGGGCTGTCTATTGGGAGTGGAACATGAATCAGGATACTGCAGTACTTTTCTTTTTATGGTAATCTCTGAACATTGTAAATACTAAGAAACTTTGAAGGTTTGTTAGGTGCCAACTGCCATTTAACTACTTCCATTGAGACTAATTTACAATTGGTCTTCTTAAACTATGACCCTCCAGCCTGTATGTATGATGTTCTATATTGTTTGAAGTCTGAGCACTGCAAAAAATTATTACCCTGGATTTTCAATATTCCAGGCTGCTTTTGGCTACACCTGAGGGAGAAGAGGTACCGCCGGGCTGAAAGGGCAGCCCGGCACCAGAAGATACGGCGGTACCTGTCAGAAAAGCTGTCCGATCTCAGGAGAAATCGTTAAAAAGGTATGTGCGTCTATACTATAACTTAATTAATTAAGTAACATACTATTTTGGATCTCAAGTTTACAAGCAATTAATTTAAATGATGGTATAGATAAATCATTTAGGGGTTAATATATTGCTGCAAGCGCAGCTGACAAGGCAGGCAGCGCGCTCGTGGCCTAGCGTTTATCGCGCATGCCTTCCACGCAGAAAGCCAGGGTTCGATTCCTGGCCGCAAGGGCGCATTTTTGTTGACTCTAACATAATGTTCTGGTAAATTCGAGAACCGTGTTGGGCTTGTTCGAGGTCAGAATGTTCTACACGCCGAATCTTCTACGCCGATTATTCCAGAAGCCCACGCGTGTACATAAGGGGCTCCGCACGGCGAGCCGCAGTTAGTCTCGCCCCAGCGTTCGACTCTGCTCCTACGCCGACTTCGACGCCCGCAACGCTCTGTTGTTATCTTCCGTTCCCTTTTAGTTTTGGGGACAAGTTTGCCCCATTAAACGTTCGGTTTACTCAGTCATTCGCCGCTTCCTCACTTGCCATTTGTGACAATATCTCTAAATGTTTATGCAAACAGCTTTAAAGTAGTGTGTTGATCAGCTGACCACCTGAAGAAAGCTGTGGGTTGCTTGGTCGCTACTGCCATCCCATCAGGCCGTGCTCGCTCACTCCAAAAAGTTGCGTGGTCACACAATTACAATGAAGCATGTCACTCATACTGTCCCTTAGTCGTCTCTAGGCAGACTTAGACGTAGGTCAACTACTCAACTCAAACTACTGTAGTTTAACTACTTTTCCGAGTAACCTGGTAACTTTCAATTACAACTTCATTTGGGTAATTAGTAGTTTAATTTAACT